TGTGAAACAAGCATACAAAGTACTACTTCATGCTTATAACTCAAGACTTAGCAAACTTCTTAGCAAATACTTAGCAAGTAATGATCATGCTCTTTAAACTCAAAATATACTTTATACTCTTGCAAATTCCACTTACTGTAAGCTAAGAAATCAAGCATTGGATATCTCAAATTCTCACATTCTTGGCATGCTTCTCAATAAATCACAATAAATACTTAGACATGTTTTTCAATCAAAAACTATCAAATGAAGATCATGCTTCTCCTTTAAATAGCTAAACTCAACAATTTATATAATTCCTTCTCTGTAAACCAACGTACAGAACACAACAATAACATTTCTCAACACAAATTCTATTGTAAAACAAGCATTTCAACTCCAAATTCAACGAAATCAACTTCTACTAGTGCGTCGTAACGAACCCGAGTGTCCGAGCCTCAAGGGCCCACGAGTCCCGGTCTGAACGACATGTAGCTAAGCCACAGAGGGCCCGGCTAGTAGGCTTTTTGGTCTGGCGGGGCTTGAGGAGCCCCGCCACTTGGCTCCGCCAAGTGGCGGTCTTAGGCAACGGATCTATCTGAGATTAGTGCCCAAGGGCCGGCTCTCCACGGGACTAGCCAGCGGTCCTTGACTAGGACCGTTGGCTAGTTCAGTGAACCTATCTGGTGCACAGACAGTGTGCACCAAAGGTTCCCTTCTTCACCTGAAACAATCTCAGTGCAAACCAACACTCCCAAAACCTCAACAACACAATCATAGATTAACAATGACTCAATACTAGCTTCATAGCAACAATAATCTAACATTTCTAAGCATTTACACTTCAAACTAGACTTCACAGAGTCAAATAAATAGTTGGGAGTCCATGGATTATACCTTTGTTGCATCTTATTCTTGTAGGGATTCCCCCTTCTTCCCAAGTCAGCCACTACCCCCTTCACCACCTAAATACCTCAAACAAGCCACACAACAACCCTTAAGAACAAGAACCTCAGAGATAGAAAGCTAAGGAAGGGAAGCTAGATGGAAATGGATGAATGGATGAGGATAAGCCTAAGAAACTTACTGTTTTCTTCTTGGTTTCCTTGCAGAGTTCTTGGTGGGAAGACAATGATGGAATCAGGATGAAATGTCTGCTAACTATTCATTTTATAGTAGCTCAAAAGTCAAAACCCTAGGAAGATCAACAATGATTGGTGGGGGGCAAAGTGGTCTTTTGGCTTGAACCTTCAAAATATCAGACAAAGGCATTGGAAGCTTGTGGTCCACCATGCAACATGAACCAAAGTCTAGAAATGTGTTTTTAGATAGTTTGGGGTCAAAAATAGATTTTTCCAAAATTGTTTTCTAGATAAACACTTGGTTCAGGTTTCTCAGATTTCTTCCGGTTTCACTCAGATTGATTTTTGGGTCAAAATTTTGGTACACAATGTACCCAAGAAATTTAGGATTTTTGAAGTAGAATAAATATCGCTATCGAATTTATTTAAAAACGTAATTCAAAATAATTCATTCAAGCACCGTTTTCAAAATAAAATTTTTGAAGAATGAAAAATGGCTATTTTTGGAATATTGTAAAATAGAATTTAAAAAATTAAATTTTGGATTGTCACAATATGACTGGAAATATCCAGAAAATCTTGAGAACATCCAGTACGAAAAATGAAGGGCAGGTCACTTTTGAAGACGGTGGAACAAGACAGATTGTTGCAAGTGGTACCTTGAATGTCCATGGACTGCCTAGGTTGCCAAAAATCCTTTTAGTACAAAGCCTAAAAGCAAATCTAATCAGCATAAGTTAGCTTTGTGAAGATGAACTTGTTAGGAACATTGTATTAGGATTTTGATGATACCAATGTAATGTAGAAAGTAGACCCCTAACTATTAACTTTTTCGATTGCTACTTTCGTCCTAGACGAGAGTTGCCATAACTCTCCTGTAATTCGTGTTAAGTTAGACAAACACACGAAAATGAGTTATGTCTAGATGTTAGGGTCTCCAAGACGAAAGAAGACACAAGGCGTGATGAACAGCAACGAGAATTAATCAGGAGTTGTCAACTACCTCGAAAGGACAGATTTATTAAAGACGATTCTCACCAAGCACGTACTCTTTCTCTTCAACAACGAGAAGAATGTTTTATTTGTCTGACTTGACAACATCCTAGGAATATAAGGACCTCAACTTGTGGGACACGTTTACCAAGGAGCATTAAATGAAGATGTACCATCTCCTGGAGCTAAAGGACAAAAACCCTAATGCTCTCCATACCTTCAACGGCTACATGGTACAACCTCATTAATGGAGCATTTAATGCATGAAGCTCCCCGGTCCTTATCCACTGGATAAAAGGTTCGAAATTTCATCTCCCTCCAACGGATGAATTTTCATCACCTATATAAACCCACCTTCATCAACTAAGAAGGTACTGGTTCAACTTTCACTCGATCTATTCACTTGCAAAAGCTCTTAAACGCTCTCAGTTCTCTCAAGCTTTTGTGAACCAGTGTTAAGGTGCTAAGATATTTGAAGAAGTCCATTGATCATCATCTTACACCTTAACGAAGTCTTGCCATTTGTACGAAGAAATCATCTCACACAATCAAGACTTCATCAAGTTGGAGAAATCAGAAATCATTTTCTACCAACCTCAACTCTGAAGAAGAAGTTGATAGAGGCAGAGTAAACTCGAGGAGTTGAAAAACCTACGAAGGCTATCCGGCTTAGTGATCAAGGAAGTCTTTGTGTAATTGTACTAACGAGTGATAGTGCAATCCTTCCATAAGTTGTGGAAGAAGAGTGGAGTAGGCAACGTTAGCCGAACCACTATAAAAACTCTTGTCTCTTTATCTCTTTACTTACGCATTTCATTTCTGCATCATATTGTCCTTATCATCATTACCGAAAGTTCTCTTTTAAACGTAAACTCATGCAAAGCAAATAATCGAATCTGACATATCCGCTGCGCCAAAACACCGAAAGGTGATTTTTGGGGTAAAAACACGAAAGAGTCTATTCACCCCCCCCCCCCCCCCCTCTAGACTCTCACTACACTCTATCGGGACCAACAGAACTCAAAGTAGAGTTCTCTAGAGACAACTACAATATGTTTACTCAGAATCACGAGTGTGTCATGATGGGAAAAAAGTCCGCAAACAAATGTTACACATGGGATGGTGACCTATCTTATTTACAGATAACCATCCGTCAAACACAATTATGGCACCAAAGTATGGGACACATAAATTTTCATGACATCAAAGGGGATCAAAGAACATTCCTAGGTTATTCATCAAACAGTAGGGCTTTCAGTGAAGACAGTATGATAGAATCCATGAATGTGATCATTAATGATGTATCTCTAGCAATAACCACTGATGATGACGAAAGTCCAAGAGTTGTTGAAACAACTGTTCCAACACCTCTGACTACTGATATGCAGGATTACAAAACAGAAACAGAACCAGATGAAGAAAAGGATAAAAGTCATTCTACTGTCTTAAAAAAATCATAAAAATCATCCTCTGGAAAATATAATAGGAGATCTCAATCAAGGAATAATGACTAGAGAGAAAAGAAACTCAAAAAAAAAAAAAAAGGAGAAAAGAAACTTAAAAGGAATTTTTGTTTGAAAAGAAGCTTATGGAAAAGAAACTCAGAGAGAAAAGAAACTCAAAGAAATTTTTGTTTGAAAAGAAGCTTGTGGAAAAGAAACTCAGAGATTGTTTTTTGAAGAGAATCTTGTGTGCTCTCTTTGTGAACCCTGAATAGCTGACTTTTTTCTGTTAAGTCTTTTTTTTTTTTTTTTTTTTTTTTTTTTTTTTTTTTTTTTTTTTGTAGCGGTCAAGAAAACAAGAAAAGAAGTCAGTGTGCTCTTTGTTTATGTAACTTGAATAAATGATATTCCATGTTATATGGCTGGTAGCTCATTTAGCTCATAAACAGTGATGAAGTCACAAATAAAGATTCAAGACAGCACTCATCGGATGAAAGAGATACAGGGTATCAATTAAGGGGGAGAAGAATCAGAAATCAAGCCACTATGAGATCAAGGTTTTTTGCCAAAAATTTAACAAAGGGGGAGAGTGTTCACTCAAAGTATTTTGTCAAAGTTATGTGCAAAAAGAATTCCAGTTCTATAAAGAAATACCAGTCCTAAGATGAATAGTTTTTGAAGAATACTAGTTCTAAGGAAATTTATTGTTGACGATTTTCTAGTTCTAGTTTGATTAGGAATAGCTTTGTTATTCACAAATCTGTTAGGAGTAGCTACTATAAATAGGAGTTGTCCTTTATTGCAGAACTCACGCATTCAACATTAATCTTGTGAGGTCCGAGAATCATTGAGAAGAGTTACTAAATTCCCCTAGAAAGTAACTAATTAGTACATATGTTTAGGTTTCAATAGTTTGGTAGAAAAGATCATTCTATTGTGTAATTTCAGGTTCCAAACAATGTACTTTAAATATTGAGCTTTTAGTGGATTTATGCAAATTCTTAAATTGAGAAGTGCCTCGCAGATTAGGGTTGTTTGCCTGAATTGCGTTACAAATTGTCTGTATTACAACTTCAGTTTCAACGTCACTGTGTGTTGCGTTTTACGAATTTCATGTCCAACTTAATATGGAATTGAGTTGAATTCAATTCAATTAATAAAATTTAATGTTTTCTTTGTATTCATTTCTCTAGTTTTTGTTTTTGTTTTTTTCATGAATATAGAGTATATCTCCCCTTAGTAAAATAAATACACACCATAAGTAAGTTATAAAGCTAATTTAGCTCTTAGGTACACACATGTTTAAAATATTACAATTTTTCCATAAATATAAAGTATATCTCTATCTCACATTACTAACTGAACTACTTAATAATAATTAGAATGAGACTTGAACTTGTGACTATTCATTTGCAATGGTAACAATGATACCATCAGACCATAAGATACTTCAGATTTGTAGTGGAGCAAAATGTATAGTAGTGCTGTAGTGGAGTTTAACTTGTTTACACAACACGCCCACGATAAACTTTATGGGATAAAACTTAAAAAGCCATTGTGAAATTAAACAAACAAACAAACCACAAGGAATAGCAATGGGGCACAGAACAGCAGCCACTGATGTTGAATTAATAAGGGGTTAAGGGAAACTGTGGATGGCCAATTGGCCATTGCCCATACACTAAATAAATACAGTACTTTTCATACTCTTGGTGCTGTACAAGTAAGAAGATGTTAAGACTGAGAGACACTCTAGCTAGCTCCCAATTGCGAAGTACTTTGGATTTTCTGGAAAATGGTATTCAACCTTCAGCTGCAATTACAACCATCATTATCAACTCCTCACATGGATTGGACTCCAAACACATTGCATACTTAACTTCAGCATTCATTCACAAATAACATGTCAACATACCTCTCCCTCGTCAGCATCTGATTGGCGTTGCGGGAATACTACCCTTAAATCGTTGTGCAAATAAAATATCCGCTCTTCTTTATTCTCTATTTTACGTCTTTCACCTAAAGATTGAGGACCCGATTTACATCTTTGGGCTGATCTCAAACCTTTCTTTTGAGGACACACAAACCGTACATGAAGAGCATATCGAATTACACCTGTACTCCCTGTGTTTCCATTAGCCTTGGAATAACAAATATCAGATTTTCTCACACTTCCATTCCTCACTTCTGCTTCACCTGATCTATGGCTAAACCTCTGGAACAAGTTATTCCCGGAACCTTCCCTTCCATTGCCCGCTAAATCATTCCGACCTTTCTCATGGTTCATGGTGCTGGCGCACTTCATATCATCATCTTTTTCTTCTCCTCTTGCACTTGTACAATTTTTTCCACAGGAAGCAAGCAAGATCTTCTGGCGCAAGAACGTCTAAACATATTCCATCACATTGTTAGAAAATCACTCTAACCTCCCATTGAACCAGCCATATTCCCTAAATATTTTTTTCTTTTACTAAATTTCCTCGGTTGTGTAATAGAGAGAGGTTGCCTAATAGTTGCTCCATTGATTCCATTTGATCTTTTGAAGCCTAGTAACTCTATAAGCTCATAGGCTGATAGACATACAATGAGAGAAAAAATAAAGACGTAGAAATATTTACTTCCAAAAAAGAAAAAAGAACAGAAGTAAAGAATATAAAAATAATTCTGCCAGGAAGCTCTTCACCTTTGTACCAATTGGCATGTCGCATAAATCATAATTACAGAAGAAAGTGTGGACTGGTGTCTTCTCCGGGTTGCTTAAAACCTGCAAAAATTAGTCTAATCAAGCCAAAAATGCACTTACCACATATTTGCCACTACTTTGTTCCAAAAACAAAGACACTTTCATATGTAAATTATACTCCATTACAAACATGTAGGATGTGACTTGGAGCCTACCCATTAAACAGTTTGACATAATTCCAAAAATTCTGTTAAAACAGCCCTCACCCAGGCAGGTTTTGAATGTATGTGTTAAAACCATCTGCCTGATCATGCAATCACAAATATTTTGAAAAATATTAAGCACAGTTAAATAAAGCATTTAAGAGAAATTTGAAGATATAAGAATCATTCCCACAAAAGGAAATCAGGAAATTGTGTTGATGAGGTGCACAATACTCTGTGAGATTGGCAGTCCTAAGCCAGTCAAAATTCAAACATTTATTTTTGAAAAGAAATGCAAAAATGTTAACAATTGCATGTGCCTACCTTCTTGAATATCTGTGTGCTTTGCTATAGCACTCAAAAACCTGAACCAAATGGGCCAAAATTGTTCCAAAGAAATGAAAACTACTTACCAATTGTATACGTCCTTTCATTGGGATACGCAAGCAGCTCTTTTCATTTCTCGAATCATCATCTCCAATTCCTCTCTTCAAATTGTTTCCTCTGCACTTATCTGATGATGATTGTCCAGCAAGATCAATAGATGCATAATACAGTAGGCAGCTCTCCACATCAATGCTGGTAACAGAAAATGGTAATTTCCTAGATTTCGGAGAGAAATTCCCTCCAGTTATGCTAAATACAGCTAGAAATCCATCTATTTTCTGCAAAAGGGAATTAGCAAATGTCTCAAAAACATCCTCAAATAGCTTTCTCATGCCATCCCCTGGCCTCACATCTTGTGATAAAACTTAAGAAATTAAAGGAATAGCATGCATGGTAGGCCAGAAACAAGAAAAGCATGGAAAATAGGACATTGAAATACCTTAGTGAATCTTCCAGATGACAGCCGGCCAGACAACAAGGATTCTTCAAATGAACCAATCAATGACCTTCTAACAGGACCACCCCTCACACTTCTGGCCATTATGCATTGTGTTGCAGTTCCCAGACGCTGAGAAAAAAGCCAATTTGTTGCAGGGTTACTTTTTTCAGGAAATGAAGGTCGAATTTGATTGTAGAAAATATCAGCCTCTTTATATGATTCACTTGCTTTCCTAAAATCCTCATCACCTGAGGGAAAGATAACACCTAAGGAAGTATTGTCAACAGAATATTCTAAACCTTTAAAGATTTTAGTATTTGCCTCCATCTTTCTGCCTCTGCCTGCAGTTTTTATCTTGTCAAAAAGTTTTGGACCGAGGGGAGATAAAGAAATAGTGGGTGAGGCCACCTTTGTTGTAGACATCAGTTCTACCCCAGATTCCAAACTTCCTTTGTCTGGAACTTGCAGAGTATCATGCAAAGGCACACAGTTATAGAGGGGTAGTTCCTTATCATCTAGCAAAGGGCCATCACTTAAAAACCTTGGCTCCGTTCTACTATAAATGTCATCCTGCTTCAAAACACTGGAGGAATTGGATACAGACCAGATTGGTGTCATAATCTGATTCTTGGATCTGATATTTGCCTTCTTACTATCTTGGATCTTAAGTTTATCATAACTATCAACTGTGCCAAGAGAATACGCTTGAAGATTACTATTGCCTATACCTAAAGAATCACCACTATTACTATTGCCTATACCTAAAGAATCACCACTAATATGCTCACTATAAAGCATACTGGTCAAAGGTGATAATAGATGCTTCTTTACAGTGGATGTGGATCCGTGATGTTCTGTTTCACAAATATTTGAATGACCACAATTAAATGAAGTTCCATCTAATTGAGCTGAAGAAGGTGTTTTTTCACCACATTCAAAGCCAACAATTCTAGACAACGGGGTGTTAATCCTCCACCCAGTTTCAGGAGTTGAGAGTAAAACTTTATCATTAGAAACATAATTCTCTGGCATGGTGCAGCTCTGCATTTGCCCCTTGCTCTCATTGTTAGTCAGATTGTCTGTAAACTTTGCTACCTCCACAGTGGTTTTCCACTTGAAATCTGCAAAGCTGCCATTTATTGATTCTCCATGCACAGATACACCTACTAAGTGCCCTCCATCCAAATGGTTTGTGCCAGAAAATTGGGACGAGGTGGATGCAGATGTAACTACAGAGCTTTGCACCTCATTGGAACTTTCATTAGACAAGACACGTAGCAGACCCATCTATGTCACCAAAGGATTAATTCTTCCTGATTGTCCTGTTTTTCTGTCCACATAAAACACCTAACATTTAACCATCTTATGCTACACAGAGGAATCTGATGTCTAAATGCCATACTTCAAGGTACAAAGTACAAACACATTGAAACAACATTACTAAGTATGCTACATTCAAACCTGATAATAACATCCACATGCAGAATTGAAAGCTAAATAAAACGTATTAAGAAACTCAAGCATGTGATCATAATCTAAGATATCATCATCTCAGCTTCAACTACAAGAAAATAAACCCACCAGGAAACCCAAAATAAAGAGATATAGTGTCCAGAACAGATATTCTGACCTCCTCCTGGCAAGCAAAAGTTCATAGCTCTTGCTAGAGCTAACACATTGGCCTGAAATTCAATCCAGAACAAAAAAACTTATTAAAAATTTGGAGTGGTAAATAAAATAATCACAGCATTAATCGATTTAGCATCTTTCTAGCAAATCATTATTAGTCTCGAACAATTTAGAGCAACAAATCAAAGATAATCATAAATCTACTGGAGTATTGATCAGTAGCAGAAAAGAAACATGTGGTTAATTTGCACTACCTTTGATCAAGTAAATTTAAAAAAAAAAAAAATAATAATAATAATATGAGACCTCCAATATGAAATAATTCGGAAAATTGGATAATCCATTAAAGTAATTAAAAAAAAAAAAAAAAAAAAAAAAAAAAAGAGAATGATTAACCAACCTTCAAAAATCAAACATCCAAATGCAGAGTTCGAAACGAAAAAAAAAAAAAAAAAAAAAAAAAACAAAACAAAACACAAAAAAAAGTTGGCTCGGCTGTGTTCACTAAGCTCACCTGATCAAAGCCCAGGCGATTCGGCTAGTGATCAATGCGTATGTACCATAACAAAGAAAAAACTTATGGCGTTCATTTCTAACAAAAAACTTGAGAATAATATCATAGAATTAATTGAAAATGATTGATATATGATAAATTTGGGTTCATCGCAGTGAGTATGAAGTAAAACCAAGTCTGAACAGCGATCAAAGCGAAGCAAGGGAACACAGAGACGGAGCGATTACAATGTGATAGAAAGGCGCCAGAGATCCGCCCTATCTGCCACTACATTCAATCAAGCTTCGGATCATCAATCAACGTACGGAAGAAAAAAAAACAGAAATTTAAGGTTGAATCAAGCTTTAAAAGTATTTTTTTTTCTTTTAATTCTGAGCTTGATGGGAGATGGAGGATGAAGGTGGTTGTTGGGTTGGGTTTGCGCTTCTCCTGAGTCCTGACGCCTTCTCGTGCTCTTTGGGTCTCTCGCTCTCTATTTTTATGTCTGCGTTTTCGTTAAGTTTTTTGTTTTCTGAACAAATCTCAAGGAGACAGTGATTATTACTCCTCTGTCCCATTTTACCTGTCCTGTTTACTATTCATTGGTCAATTCAACTCTTCCTTCATTGCTTATTTTCTTTAGTAATTTTTAATTATTTTTAAATTTGATTTTTTTATGTTTAATAGTACTTTTAATGTAGTTTCTAAATATATAAATTTTATATACTAAAAATAAATTTAATATTATGAAAAATTGAAGTAAAAATAGCTTCAGTCAAGCCTCGTTAACCGAACTAGACAAACAAAATGGGACGGAGGTAGTATTACTCCATTTGTCCCATTTCATGTGTCTTACTTACAATTCTTTAGTCAAATTAATTCTTTCTTTTTTATATATTTTCTTTTACTTATTTTCAAATTGCACCCAAGCATATACATAAAATGAGATATTAAGTGGGCAGATTCCTTTGTGCGCATCGGCATTTGACTTGTTTGCTGAACCATTAAGTCACGGTGATTTACATTTTTCCACAATATTCTGTTGGATCGGAGGGTGGAACCCTTAAAATTGGGGATTCAATCTTTTAAGAGAAGAAAATGGGAGATATTTTTACTGCTCCTTATGTCCTAAATTTTTCTTGTGCTTTAATTTAGAAATAAAATTAGTAAAAGTAATGTTGTACGAGTAATCAATAACAAACCCAATATAATTACAACATTACTATATAACTTTTATATTACTAGTAAACTCTTTTAATTTTGTATATTTGGAGTGTTGGAGACTTGAGTAGTACATAAAACAAAGCAAAAGCTGATGTATAAAACAAGTTTAAGCATTTGATTTTGAAGGAGGCATCCAAGAAATTTTAAACTCCAGTACACATAATTTAGCTATGGGCCACGAAACAAATTTCCCCGCATGTGAATTGGCAGCAAGTGGTTTATTTGCCGACATTTATTATCTTTAAACAATTTTGCAAATAAAATAAATGAAATCTGGAAAGTCGAAATTCAATTTCGTAAAATATTGGCAGTGAAATTCCCTCCTAGTCCTAGTAAAAGAAGAAAAAGGAATTTCTGATTTCTGAACATTGCCATTTGCCAATTGCCAGCCACCAAAAAAGGGTGATGGTAGGTACGTGTCAGTCCGCCTGCGGGGGTACATGCAACCTACGTGTCAGTCCCCATTCATTGCTCCCACTACTTACCATGTATTCTGCGTGCATTCCAAGCTTCTCCGTAGTATAATATGGCAATGGCATGATGGTGTAAGTTACAAATTGGAAGAAAAAACCAAAGGTCAGTGAAATCATAAAACGAAAAACAAATAAAAAAAAAATACAAGTTTTACTTTGAATTAGGTTATTTGAAGAAAAAACCAAAGGTCAGTGAAATCATAAAACTAAAAACAAATAAAAAAAATACAAGTTTTACTTTGAATTAGGTTATTTGAGCAAATACCAATTTTGGTCTCACGAGTATTAACAAAATGACAATTTTGGTCCACATGTTTAATTTCTACCAATTTTCATCCACGACTATTGTTTTAGTACCAATTTTAATCCACGACTATTATTTTAGTACCAAAGTTCATCACGTCGGTCGCCCATCTATTTAAGACATCCCGAAATCTAAAAATTTTAAGGGCATTTTCGTCTCTTTTAAGTTAAGATTCCAATTTGAGCATAAATAAATGAATTTAAGCCATAAGATCGATCCTACTTCGGAGTTCTCCTCCTCATCTTACCTTAATTTGAGGAAGAAAACTGCGAATTGGGATAGATCTTAGGGCTTAAATCCCTTTATTCATGCTCAAATAGGGATCCTAATTTGAAAAGCACGAAACTACCCTTAATAATTTCATATTTCGGCATGTCTTAAACGAAGGGGTGACCGGAATGATGAATTTTGGCACTAAAATAATAGTTGTGGATGAAAATTGGTACTAAAACAATAGTTGTGGATGAAAATTGGTACTAAAATAATAGTTGTGGATGAAAATTGGTAAGAATTAAACATGTAGACCAAAACTGTCATTTTACTAATACTCATGAAACCAAAATTGGTATTTGCTCTAAGCTATTTTAAAGTAAAACTCCAGCTCAAAGTCTCAGACAAATAATTCTTAACAAAAGAAATGGATTTCCAGAGAGCTCCCAAATCAAAGACCACTGTCCTCCTCAATGGTGGCCAAATTAAATTCCATATTTTCGTGTATAAATATATATTATATATATTTTTGTGTATTGACTTATTCACCACTACCAACATAATATAAATAATAAACCTACAATATATAAATTAAATAACATTAGTAATGTAGTAACAATCACTTTTAATTACCTTAAATGTTATCGTATTGGACCATGATCCATGCATTGTTGTATAGAACATGATTTACCATATAATCATTGAGTGTTTCTATGTGTTGGTTTTACGGCCTTTGGTAGCCGTTCGGCGGGTCAACACTACCGTAAAATACTAGGGTCTTTTGGTGTAAACAAGAGAATAGAAATAGCTAAAGATAATTTGACAGCATAATGGGATTTTATTAGATCAAAAATCCGTCCTCTCACAGTGATCTCGTGGGGGTATTTATACAAAGAAATAAGCTTTCTACAAGGAAAGTAGGGCAAAGATAGAGCGGAATCAACTAGGGGATCCGCTGTAATTAGCACAGTAATTACATAAATTAATAAAGGAAGCTACTTGTTTAAATAAGGAAAGGAATCTCTGTGGAATCCGCCATTAACCGCCTCCAGGTGAGCACTCGGTCGGGGACGCACTGACTGCCTGACGAAGTAGCCCGGCTAAGGAGGCTGTGGCACCCAGGCAAGGACACACTGACCACTAAGCCTGGTCGCCCATCTGAATCCTCAGAGAGAACCCAGTCGGGGACACGCCGACTGTAAGGCCTAGTCGCTTTATCTAAGCCAGCTAACTTCCGTCTAGGTACGCGCTCCTCTGCTGGTCTGGTCTCCCAGGTGCTTCGCGTGATGAGCGGGAACAACGGGTGCAGCCTTTTCCCTTGAATTGCCAAGTGTTATGCCGCACTCGAGCCTAACTGCTTCGCCGCACGCCTTAGACAGGATGCCCGATTTGGGGTATCTATCACCAGTCCCTCACTTTTTCGGGTCTAGCCGAGCGATGACTCAAAAAAGTAGAAGAAACAACTAAGGGTGTACCGGAGATGCACGACTACCTTGTTATCCTTTTCTCGCAAGTCGTCCGGGTGCTCGGTCGGGAATCCGTTCTCCCATCAACTGATCCCGCTTTTTCCCGACTGGTTCTGTGAAGCGGTACGGTTGTTGTTACATAATTATGAAAACTCCTCGAAATTCGCCGGTTACAAGCTCGAGGCGCGTTTTCCCGTAATCGTCTTGTCTAATGTTACGTCTTTTCCCTCACCGTTCAATAAGGGACAAGTGGCGCGATCTGGCCAGTCGTCCATATCTATTGTACTTCTCTTCATTCTTTCTTCCTCCGCACTTCATTCCTCCATCTCCAACTCTCCAGTGCTTTCTCTTTCCAACATCCGATCTTTCGTCCAGCGGCCGGCGTCTTTTTCCCTCCGAGTCAGTTTCGTTCATCTTCTCCAGCTGTCGTTTTCCAGGTCAGCCCTCTTTTTTTTCTTTTCCCCTTTTTCGCTTCTTGCCATGTTTTCCTCTCAACCCCCATCTTCTTCCACTGCCGATGACCGTTTGGGTCAGACCTCCGATCCTCCGGCCACCACTTCTACGCCGGCGACAGCCCGAGGTCCGTCGTCAATAGCTCCTGCTGATCTTCCCATTGACCAAGAGTCGGGCTACTTTGAAAATCTGGATTGGCGAGTGGGCCGCCGCTCGTCCTTGCATGAGGTTGACTTTCTGCACGCCCGGCGGTGGCCCGCCGACCAGGCGACTGACTAGTGACCAATCCCCCCAAAGGCGGGTACGTGGGGATCCATTACAGTCGATCCAGTGCGGTTTCCTGGTGCCCGTTTCTCCCTTCCTCTCTCTTTTGCTCCAATACTATGGCATTGTGCCTAGTCAGCTGGTGCCCAACTCTTACTGCCTCCTCACGGCTTTCCTCACTTATTGACATCGTCTTAGGGTGGAGGCCACCCTTCTTCTGTTCCACCAACTCTTCCGCCTGACTGCGATCGACGTGATCGCCCCGGGACACATGCAAATACATTCTGGGGATGACCACAAATTTCTAAACAAGCTGGTCTCCTCCCACAAAGGTTGGAAGGAGAAGTTCCTCTTCGTCCGCCTGGCCGACCACCTCCCAGCCTTTGATTTCCTGACAGTCGTCTTATTATCGCCTTGACGGGAGGCCGGCTTGCCCCGACGACCTGGTCGATCTGGTCAAACGGATCACCGGGGGTGAGCTTATTTTGGCTCGGCGCTGGTTGCGACTAGCGGCCATGATGAAGGCTGGTCTACTGCGGGACGGAGCCCCCCAGAAAGGTTCGCATTTTTCCACATGGCTGATTGTCTGCCTACCCGGGTTTTTGGACTTAGGATTTCTCTTTCGTTGCAGGGAATAATGACACTGAGAATTTGTCCGAGGAATCAGAGGAGGGCGAGGAGAGCGAAGAGGAAGTGCCAGCGGCTGCGCCAGTTCTTGCTGAAGCGCCCCCGGAAGATCTTCCCACCACATCCATGGCCGATCGTCACTCTTTCCTCCGTGTTTCCTGTCGGGCCCGTCTGACCTCCGCCGACAAGGGCAAGGGCGCGACTACTTCAGCCAACTCCACTCGCCCCCCCCCCCCCCCACAAGCTATACGTAGCTCGGGTCCTCTGGTCATCGGAGGTAATCCTGGCGCCGCAACCCGGTTCGCCGCAGATACCAAGCGGAGAGGGACGACTACACCCACAAGTCAATCTGTAGCTTCTTCTCCCCCACCGGGCTGGCGTTAAACGGCCCGGTGAGACCCATGTTAAGGCCCCGACTGCCAAGTGGATACTGGTTGGCCCAGAGGCCAACGAGACGGAGGGCATTCATAAGGGTCGTTATCCAGTCGGCGAATGGTTCGACAAAGTCGTTTTCCCCAAAGACCTCGAGTCCGTTGAAGGGGGGGATCCCGACTTGTTGCTGGATGGGGTTGCCTTCCGCACCTACCAGGTTGCTTCTCATTTTCCTTTTCCCGACTGCCTACTTTTTGCACTTAACCACATATCCGTTTTTCTGACGTCTTACTTTGTTCGCAGGCTATGGTGTGCCAGCTCGCCCTCTGCCGCCGCCAAAAGGTCATGATGACCGAGTTGAAGGACCTGCACACCGCCCGGGACAACCACGCCACCCAGGTGGACGACCTCAACCTGAAGCTCATCCAGGCCGCTTCTGCTTTCGAGGCCGAGCAGAGAAGGAACAGCCAGCTAGCGGTCGAGCTACAGAATGCTTGGGAGGCTGCTCTGATTTCTTAATATGCGCCATTTAAATGCTTAAGGTGCTCACATTTTTAGTTTTCATATTCTACCTTAATGAACACATCATTTGAATGATAAATTAATTCCAATTAATTTTTTGTTTCAAAATACATTTTTAATTATAAATGTTATATTTAATATAATTTTTAGGATGTAAGTATGAACGTTTACCAACGTTCTGCTTCGTGTGTGGAAGGACCGGTCATGTACAGTTATATTGTCCAACACAGTTTGAAACCCAAAGCTATGAGCTTCCTAGGGCCCATGGACTAGATTTGAGAGCAGTAAGTCGCAGAGGGAAAGGCAGTGCAAACAAGTGGCTCCTTGATCAGCTCCCATCTATAAGAAGGAACAGGTGGCCGGAAAAAGTTAGGAGGATGACCGGAAACAAGGGTCGGAGGCAGCACAGGGATCCAAGGTACGAGGATCCTTTGAGACAAAAGGAAATTGGTACAAACAATTGTCCAACGGACAATGTCCAGACTGCAGAAGTGCAGAACTACAGAAGTGCAGACATTAATTGTAGTATCAGAAACATTAATGACCAAGATATGGAGGCAGACCTCGAGACTCAAAATCAAATCTCTGCTTTGGGCTTTCTTATTAGAGAACAGAAGAGGAGAAAATGTGGAGATGGGCCATTTGGGCCGGCGGAGGAGTCCAACGTAGAGGAGCATGTTTGTGGGTTAGCTGAGCCCATGTGCGTGTAGGATTTATCAAGTGTTAATGACCCAAAAAACGGCTTGTTGGCGCGTTCTGGTTTCCAGACCCGCCTAGATCAATGATCATCTTGGCTTGGAACTGTCCTGGGTTGGGCAGCCCCACGTCAGTTCAAATTCTTGTGGATCTCATCTACACTAGGAAGTCCGATGTTGTGTTTATTATTGAAACTATGGTTGCTGCTAGCAGATTAGAGCCCATTAAAATAAGGTTGGGCTTTGAAGGCATGTTTGCGGTTGATAATAGAGGACAAAGTGGTGGGCTAGTCTGTTTTTGGAAAAAAAAAACCCCAATGGTTACAATTAAATCTTACTCTAATAGACACATAGATATGCTCATTACCGAGGATGAACCTTGTGAAGAGTGGAGACTTACAGGTTTCTACGGTGTTCCTGATAGGAGTGAAAGACATTTGGGGTGGAATCTACTTAAATCTCTAGCCGGCCGTTCATCCCTTCCTTGGGCGGTTCTCGGCGATTTCTACGATATACTCCAATCCTCTGAGAAAAAAAGGTGGAAATCCTCAACCAAGGTGGCTGATGGATGGGTTTTGCGATGCAGTTGAGCAGAGCGACCTCTCTGACTTTTCCTTCGATGGCCATAAATACACCTGGGAAAAATCGCGGGGAAAACCAGGATGGATCCAAGCAAAACTCGATAGGGTCTTGGTTTCTGATGATTGGCGTGTGAAGTTTGGGGGAGCCAGGGCTCATTCGATTGTCTCTTCCAGAAGCGACCACCTTCCGATGTTGTTGCATGTCCATCGGAAACAAGCTAGTCAGTGCCCGCAGCGCTTTAAATTCGAAAATCTATGGCTGAAAGAAGCGAGTTGCCGGGAGGTTGTTATAGCAAGCTGGAACTCGTCGAATGGTCTGGAATTAGTTGATCGTATAGGGTGGTGCACGGCTGCGATATGGAGCTGGGGCAAAGTCTTTACAAAGAATTTCGAAAGAAGAATCCAATACTGGGAAAGACGCATACTAGTACAAAACAGTGCATTAGCGTCGGTTGTACAAAGCAATAGGCATCTGTTGTACGACAGACGCCTATGAACCAGACGCTAATAGTTTTTACTTTTGGCGTCTGTCGTTCATAGGCGTCTGTTCTTTTCTAAAAACAGACGCCTATAGTAGCATTTTTCTTTAAAAAAAAGACAATAGGCCAGAAGCCTATTGTCCTTATTTTAAAAAAATAATAATAATTTTTTCTCAACTGTAATTTTCAGCAATATTATTCAACATAATCAAATTAAATCGTCAAATCCTACAATAATATTCACACTATAACGCAATCCACAACATAATCTAAATTACAACACAATCCGATATTATTCAACATAATCAAATTAAATCGTCCAATCCTACAATAATATTCACACTATAATGCAATATACAACATAAATTAAATTACAACACAATCCACAAAATACACATATTAAGCTCAAAGTCATGCTTCAAAAAAAAGACTTCAACTAAATCCATGATTAAGGTCAAGATATATAACATGTCGTAAACATATACCTGGAAATTCTCAACTGATGTATTCAAGCAACCACATTGAAATGGATGTGAAGACTTAATTGGAAAAACTGAAGAGATGTTTAAAGACAATGAACTACCTCCATTTGCCTTCTTCATTAATGCAACCTATAAATTGGACAGTACACCTGTGGATGGTTTATGACCCTTTCAAGTGCTCCATATTTGATTAGTGGGTAATAAATATGATTGGAGAAAACACTCATTTTCCTTCCTTATAAAGGACTAGTCATTCCTTCAAATAAAAAGTAAAAAGGATGCATAATTGTAAGGAACAATGAGTTAATGACACTACCTAATAGTTAAAATGATACTAACCAGTAGATCACCTTAAGATCATCCATCTTATGTTATTTTCAAGCAACCAATGCGATATTCCTTTCTCACACTGAAAACACATAAACAAAACTCATAGTAAGGCATCTTACAATCACAAAGAAACCTGCATAGTTCGACAATAGTGTACATACATGCATAAAGAAACCCAGTTGCCTCAACATTAATTAACTAATACAAGTAACTTTTGCTAGAAGTATTCAACAATTGATGAATTAAAAGCACAAAGTTAATCTTAAAAAAAAAAACACAAAGTTTAAATAAATAAATAAATAGATAGATAAAAACAAGAGGCATTGTTGCACTGGAATTTAGAATTGTTGCATTGGAATTCTGGAATTTCATTCCAGTTCTTGCTCACTGGAATGAAATTCACTGGCCAGTGGCACGAGAATTTCAATGTTAAAAAAAATTCATTGTCAAATAACTCAAGCTTCAACTCAATCAAAGCTAGAAAATAACAATGTAAAAATCATAGTAATTAAGAATAACAGTTAAGTTGAAGCAAGAAACCAATCAAGAATAACATGATTATTGTCTACTGTAATGATTTATAATGATTTTCAGATTGCTCAGAGTTTATGTCCACAATATTTACAATAGTCTACCCTCACTTGTTTATGTCCACTCTTCGAATTTTTGTGTTGACATTTGATGATGTCATTGATACAATGTTTTTCCAGCAAATTTCTTAAAGAAAATTCATAAATCACACTCTAAAAACTGTTAATTAGGACTCACTTGATACGAGGAACATGGAACATTTCCTGAATAGCTACTTCTTCAACATCTACCATTCCAACTAGTGCATTTCCTGAAAATATCCAAAGCTATCACAATATAAAACATGACAAATTAAGTGAATGAAAACAAACCTGTTGCAGAATAATGAACTTTCAAAGGTAAAGTTATTAAAAAGCAATGAATTACTATATATATCACACACTAGCTATGGTGTCAGATAGTTGTTTAGAAATTACTGGAGCTTTCTTCTTAAACATATCAAAAGGGAAAACATATCAAAAGCAAAGAAAGAAAAGAACAGCATACTTGAGCATGGTTGCAAAAATCGCGCAATCGGCGCCTAGGCGCTAGGTGGTAGGAAGCCGCCGCGAGGAATGGCCTCGGCGGCCTCCTACGCGGCCGGCCGCCTAACCGGCCGGTTCGGCGATTTTTTTTTTTTTTTTTTTTGGAAAATGTCAGAAAAGTTTCGGAAGGCATAACTTTTGACTCGGTTGTCCGTTTTGGACAATTTTTTTTTTTCAAATCGCGTATTTTTTCGAGATCTATCCACCGCAAACAGCCAAAGGCGGTTTGGTCCACTAATTTCTCAAAAAAATGCTTCTTTAGCTCTTAATTTTAGTTTTTTATGTATTTAGATGGTTTAAACAATCTTTTGAACAATTTTACAACCACTTTTGTAAATAGTTTCTAAGAAATAACTATGAAAGCCTTATGTTTTAGTACTAAATTTTAAAAATTTTTAATTTTAAAATTTTTTTTTAATTAAAAAAAATAAAAATAAATAAAAAAATAAATAAAAAATCGACGCCTAGGGGGCGCCTAGCGTGTTTTGCAACATTGTACTTGAGCGATCAGTATGCCTATAAACATGCAAGTATAAATTTTAAAAAGAATTAAAAAAAAGGAAAACTCATATAAAACCCACATCATATATTGACCAACCAACAATAACTAGCAGAAATTATACCTCAATTGCAAGAGAATTGCTCAAGTGTCCAAGAAAGATCAATCACATTGCACAGAACCTTGAGCTTCCCCTGATGAAACCATGTTATCTGAACTATCTTTAAAACGATACACAACCATATCTTGACTGTGACATAAGAAAGTGTGAAAAGATAAACAGAGATATAACATCTAATGAATTAATTGTTTGTTTAAATTGCAATGACCTGCAAAATGGCATGAGGCCCTGAGGATGTTTCGTTGACATGAGTTGGCTCTGTGGTTCTGTTCAGTTTTCCCGTTGAAGCAATGCCATTACCTGCAGCAAACAAATCAAAAAATTAGTAACCTATTCTCTAACTAACGAACTAATTTAATTGTCTTTAAAGCACTCTCAAAAGAATTTGAACTTTATCTGTGGAATATGCTCTATACTGAGATAGGAGAGATGAACCACATGATTTTCATCAAAATTCATTTGCCTTATCTAGGTAAATAGATCCTTGATTGCTAACACGGTAACACCATTACTCTAGGGTTCTCAACTTTGGCAGATGCGTGAGGCTGATATAAGAGAGTACGTACACTAAAAAATTAACAAGGACTGAAAAGCATGAAGTGCAAAATAAATAGAAAAAGTTAAAAATATAGGAAATACATATTACAAAGCAAGTCACAGTAGAATCAATTATGCAATTTGACAGTAGCCAATAAGACTAGTAAAACAAAAACCTCGCTGCTGAAGGTGGCGAAGCCGGTCCGCCGATGCTCGCTACGGACGAAAACGCCTCGCCGATGCTCGCGGCTGACGGAGCTTCTCGTCGCTATTGTTGAAGGGGTCGAAGCCGAAGCTCACCGCCACTGCTTTCGCCTCGCAGATGGTTATCGCCGGTGAGAACATCGACGTCGTCGTCAGTAGATCTGTGGAGCTGAGATCTGTAGAGTCATCCCTCTTCTTCTAAAGCTCTGTGATTTAGATCTAGGTTTTTTGCAAGGAGGAGCGTCGATGATAGATCTAGGTTTTTAATTTTTATTTAAACAAACAATAGCAACAGACGCAAAAAGTGTCCGTTCTTTTTAATCTTCACCTTTTGAGTGAGTTCTATTGGTACAACAGATGCTATAGTTATTTAAAAATTACAAATATACCACCGTGTGTGTTTTAACCTCTCTTTTTCAAACAACAGATGCTAATAGTCTAATTTTTTTGGTCAAATTTGTACTAGTGAAAGCTCTTGAAGAGGAGACCAGACATGCATGGGTGCGTCTTATTTAGAGAAGCACAATTCCAACACCAGAGAGCTATCGAGCACCAGAACTCCTATTGGAAACAAAGGGCCAAAGAATTCTGGCTGAAAGACGGGGATCAAAATACAACCTTTTTCCATAACTCAGTCCAGAAGAGACGAATCACCAATCAAATTTCCAGACTTAAAAACGAGGAGGGCGAGTGGGAGGAGAAAGGGACTGCCATGAATAAACTAATGATCAGGTATTTCAATCACTTATTTTCTTGGCAGGATGGGGAGCCCCAGTTAGTGGTAGATTGTATGGAAACTAAAATCAACCACTCCCAGAATGTAAGGCTGCTTAGAAAATTCTCTAACGAGGAGCTGAGAGTAGCTCTTTTTGATATGAAGCCAGATAAATCTCCGGGTCCGGACGGACTTCCTCCGAGATTTTTCCCACACTTTTGGGATATAGTAGGGGAGGATGGCGTGTCTTTATGTGAGGGGGTTAGACTAACCAAAAGCTTACCTACTGGTAGTAACTCTACTCATATTGTTTTGATCCCTAAAATTTCCAAACCAACCTCCATGGGGGATTTAAGGCCTATAGCATTGTGTAACGTGCTTTACAAAATATTTGCTAAAGCCCTGGCTAATAGAATAAAACCCCTCCTAAACGATATCATCTCTGAAGCTCAATGTGCTTTTGTCCCGGGTAGAGTGATAACCGATAACTTGCTGCTAGTTTATGAAACCCAACACTATTTGAATAGAAAAACTCAAGGGAAGGTGGATTTTGTGGGGATGAAATTGGATATGAGTAAAGCATACGATAGGGTGAATTGGAAGCTGGTGGAAGAGGTGTTGCTGAAATTATGCTTTGATGTGAGCTTTGTGGCTATGATTTCTGCTTGTAGCTGCTTAGTGGAGTTCTGTATTCTTCAGGAAGGGAAAATTTTGGGGCCCATTGTGCCTCAAAGGGGTTTGGGACAAGGGGATTCCCTGTCCCCTTATCTCTTTATCTTAATCATGGAGGACTTGAGTGTGTTGATCAACAAAGAAATAAGGGCAGGAGGCCTTCATGGGGTCTCTGTGGCTAGAGGAGCTCCGGATATAACACATCTGTTTTTTGCAGATGACTTTTTTTTTTTTTTTTTTTTTTTTTTTTTTTGCAGAGCCAATTTCCTGGAAGTCAGAATTATGAAAGAGATCCTTGTTGAGTTCTCTACTGCTTCGGGCCAATCCATAAACTTTAACAAATTTGCCATCTTTTATAGCAGACATGTGAATAATATTACTAGAGAGGCGATCTCGGATATTATGGCAATCCCTGAAGGATCAACAACTGGAAAGTACTTGGGTATTCCATCCCTCATTGGTAGAAAGAAGAATGAAATTCTTAGTTTTATCAAGAACAAAGTGGTGGGCAGAATCAACAGTTGGAATAACAAGTTCTTGTCAAAAGCGGGCAAAGAAGTCCTCATAAAGAATGTGCTGCAAGCAATTCCGGCCTATGCCATGAGTATCTTCTTGTTACCCCATGACCTATGTAACAGTATTGAGATTGCTTTGAATGGCTTTTGGTGGAGGGGTTCTAAGACTGAAGGTAGAGGGATAAGGTGGAAGAACTGGTCTGATTTGTGTAGACCAAAAATGGCAGGGGGTATGGGTTTTTGTAAACTAAGACAGTTTAACCTTGCTCTATTAGGGAAGCAAGCGTGGAGATTCATTAAATTCCCCGATTCCTTGTGTCTAAAGTTTATAAAGATAAGTATTTCAAGAGTTCATCCTTCTTGGAAGCAAAAATGGGGAGTAATCCTTCATTTGTTTGGCGAAGCATCATGGAAGCTCAGGCTATTCTTTCTGCAAACTGTAGATGGAGGGTGGGCAATGGTTTGTCTATTGATGTTTGGAAGGATCCTTGGCTACCAAGGAAGTCATCTCCTTTCGTTCAAACTCCGGCACCGGTGCAATTACAAGGGATTAAGGTGACCTCCCTCTTGAATATTCAGAAGGATAATTGGGATTTTGAAATCCTTGAAGATCTTTTTGATGAGTCTGACAGGGTTCACATTAGCAATATCCCCATCCCATGCAATGCCCAAGAGGATAGAATCTTATGGACAGGGGAGGATAATGTGTAACACCCCCGATTTTCATACCATTTTAAAGCTTAATTACGCAAGATAAACTAACCATCAAAACATGAAACGTAAACACAGCAGAAGTCTAATATTAAAAACCGGGAAACATGGAGTGTTATGCCACGTTCACACCGATGTGAATGCACAGGCAAGGTCAAAAACCAACATCTAATGTATGTTTAACAACAGCGGTGCACAGGCCAAAACACTAATAAAGCTGTCCAGGGGATCTAGTCTAACCATGTCTAACGCTCTCGCTGTCTACTCAGGACCTGTAAAGCACATAAAGAAATGGAACGACGCCCGGTCAGCGAATAGTGCTGGTAACCCATCAATACGCGTTAAGTATCATACATAGATAGTATTATAAAAAATCACTTTCGAAACGGAATACTGTATATATCAGTTCAAAGCCATAGATAGAAGTCAACTGCAAAGACTCTATTTGACTCACAACAAGGACAAAGGGAAACAACATCCTAAAACAACATCAAGACATGACAACAACAACACAAGTACAACTTGAGGTGTATTCTACTATCACCGAGTAGAATACCACCCGACATGCTCAACAGAAAAGGATAGACAATTACACATCGGTAACACATGCCATCGTGACATCACCCGTCACAAATTCAATAATCCATCCTTATGCCCGGTTCCAACCTTATGGCTACCCCCAACCTTATAACTAGTTCCAACCATTACCTCCAGGAACCCTGTACATCCAAGTCCAACCTTATGCCTCCGGGAACTGTCGTTCCCCACCTATAACCACCAACAATTTCCACCAACACATAGTACACGAGGGTACCGTTCAATACACGACCGAAACCACCCAAAACACGTGAGCCTGAAACACAGGTCACAGCTCCATAATCACATCATGGCCACCACGAGGACCACTGCCGTACCTTGGTGACTAATGTCTCATACCATTAATCGTACAATCCAGCTACAACCAATACACACATCATCATCATAGGAATCAATCAATGGATCACAACAAAGATATGAAACCATAATCAACAAGAAAAGATCACAAAACGACAACAACGATGATCGACACAAGTCATCACCCACAATAGGAAAGAACAAACCACACACGCTAGCAATTCAACACCGAACTAGCATGCTTATCAAACGGGTAAACCAAAAATAGTTCCGAAGAACATACAAGACTCATCATGGTTCAACGAATCACAAGGTTGAACACTTAGCACGATTCAAGACACCAATTCCTAAATGGATTCCTACCATATAGTTCTAAACATACGAAACATCAAGAAGACACTCATATAGCCCAACAAAAGAACATCGGGGAGTCAAAACATCAATTGCCGAGTCAAAAGAATCACGGGGAACAAATCCCCAAACAACACCATATGTGTACCCCACAGGTGGACCTCCACCTGTGGTTCTGCCCGCGGGTGGGGCGGCGGGTGGACCTCTACTCGCCGTTCTGCCCGCGAGTACGTACCCTGTACCAAAATAATCTCTTAGGGGATTTTCAACACCAAGTCCAAATTTAAGTCTAAAACACCCAAAATATCACAAAATACAACAATATGACTTGAATTAAAGGAATAGCCAAGCAATGACATACATGAACCCTAACAACAAGCTCTAGATATGCATTCCCACAAGACAATGCATCAAAACCCACATTTCATAGCAAAAATCACATGTAGAAGTCAAGAAATCATCATATAGGTAAGAAATAGATTTTGTAAAGTATGGGTTACCTCTTGTAGCCTAAACCTTCACTTATCACACCTTTACAAGCTTCTAACAAGGCTCTCCTTCAACTCCAACTTCAAGAACACACCAAAAGGAAACAAAGGTTTCATCTTTAGAAAAAGACACCTTAAAAGGCACTAAAACACTAAAGGACCAAAGATCTTACCCTCCTATATGCTCAAGATTAAGAAAGGTGGAATCTTGGAGATCAACTTGAAAGATCTTGGAATGCCCAAACTTGGCTTGAAGAAGAAGCTAGCTAATTTCTAGAGAGAAGGAGGAGCTTTTCTTTTTTAGAGTGTTAGGGGAAAGAATGAAAGATGACTCTAGGTTAGCTTGGAATACCATCATAAGGTGAAAGGTCTTCTTTACCCTTACTAAAGTGGAAAAGTGTAAGGAGACAAGGGAACTATTCACAATAATTATATCTGTGATAATGCCCAAAGTCACAATAAAAAGTTGTTGTGAACATTTCTTGATTGTTACTCAAAGTTTGAACTATGATTAATTAATTTAATAGGGTAATTAAGCTTAATAAATTATGTATGTATATCAAGTCAAAAATAACAATGCATTTGACTTTTACGACCCAAATGCACTACCGTCTTCCGGACTATAATTTTTTTCTTTTTTAAAGTAATAATTGGAGGTCAATCATGAACTTTGTACTCTAAAAATTAAATCATGAACTCTTGATAATTCAAATGATTGTTTTATTTCATCACCGTATATAAATACATGTCTATTATTGTAAAAAAGTTCTCTTAACTCTGTAATTTGGAATGGAAGAACAAAAATTTTATAATAATAAAAATACTTTAATTTAAAAAAAAAAAACATACTGAAAAATAATTTATATAAAAAAGAAATATGATCATCGTCAATGTATTGCCATCTGTTTCCAAGTATTCAATTACACTAATTTTTCTCAGAAAACACGTCTGCAAACTCCTCTGTTTCTCTTTGATTTGTGATACCCAAATCTATGTATAATACTTCTAAAAGCCACAAAACCACCATATAGAATCAAAGAAAATTTAACAAATATTCAAGTAAAGACAATTGAAGGGGAGAAAGGTAACAATTTGGATAAAAGGACAAAGAATAAACATAAAATGATAAAAATTTGAAAGAAGTACAAATAAAAGGGATGACCTCTGAAGTACAAAAATTGGAGTATGCTATATTTCATATGAATTTTAAATATATAAGATTAGTAGTCCTCTCATTGCTCACATTACATTCCTCATAACCATCTAGACAGAGCTGAATAAAAGTGAGACACAAAATACTTGTGTAGACTCTGCAGCAGTCCTGATCATTCAACTACCATCAACACAAGAGCTATGGCTGGAGGTTAGTACGATCTTTATTGTCACATATTATTGATGCATGTGACTCATTTATTCTAACAATTGGTAACAGAGCCATGTATAATCTCTGCCTGGTTCTTTTAATTTCTTAATATTTGCATATATTGCTATACTTCATTGTATAATTGGTATTACATATATGAATATTATTTATTTTTCAATTATTTTTCTGGGCTGCTGAAAATATTATTTCGCATTAAGAAACAAAAATTTCAATTGGATATCGTTTTTGCTGCTTCGTCGTTTTTCTAGAATTTCGATCGACAGATTTTGACCTCGCCGGCGGCCATTGTTGTTGGTGGAGACGACTGTTTTTAGATCAAACAAAAAAAAATTCTTCCGTTGTTCTCCCTTCAGTTACCATCAACAATGGAATTTCGGTGATGGAGACGAATGGATGGCGACGCAAAGGCTTTGGCTGGACTGGTTTCGCAACGCGGATGAGTGCAAGCGAAGGGCGGCAGCGTTGGCGTCGCGTCGAGGCTAGGCGGTGGCGGCAAAGCTGGTTTTTTTCCGGTGACACTTGTAACACCCCCTAAAATAGGCTAATTAAAAACCTTAAAATATGCAGATAACACAACTACACAACGAACACAACGGAAGATTAAAAGATAACTGGATAATTATAAATCCAAGTCATGGGGTGTTATGCCACGTTCACCAACAAAGATGAACGCTACGGCAAAATCTGCATTGTTTACAACTATCCAAAAGTCACCACAGATCTACAACTAGATAGGCGCACAGGCCATAAACCAACGGGAGAGCTATGCTAACAGGCACTAGACTGCGCACTCGCCTAGACATCACCTGAAAGAACACAATAAAACATGGGACGACGCCCGGTCAGCGAATAATGCTGGTAACCCACCAATACTTGTGAAATATCATACATAGATAAGAGATAAGTTGTAAAGTCATTTTCAAAACGGAATACATAAGTATATAAGTACAAAACCATGAGCAATAGTCAACACAAGACTCAATACTCTCAACAAGGACACGGGAACACATCCCAAACCACAAAGGATATCACAACACAAGGATAAAGACAAGACTGATGGCCACACATGCCTAGGCAACACATGCCTTTGTGACTACACACGTCACAAGAAGAGAACTCACCACATCGGCTACACAAGCCCTCGTGACATCACTCATCACGAGTTGATATGCCTTCCTTATGCCCGGTTCTAACCTTATGGCTACCCCCAACCTTATGTCTAGTTCCAACCTTTACCTCCAGGACCCCTATACACCAAGTCCAACCTTTTCCCTCCGAGGACCGTCGTCTCCTCTCCAACTGATCTCCAACAGAACCACCGATTTCATGGTACACGAGGGTACCAATCATACACACGGCAACACATGCCACCCAAGAATCACGTGAACCTTACACAAAGGTCACAACTCCATAATCACGTCACGTCCACCACGAGGACCGCTGCAATACCTTGGTGACTAGTGCCCCATTCCACTAATCGTGCAATCCAGGTAAAGCCACGCACACATCACACCTCAACAGGAATCAATCAACGGATCACAACGAAGATATGAAACCATACTCAATCAAGGAATGGATCACAGTCCAACACAACAATGATGAATAACACAAGTTATCATCAACCAATAGGAAGGTACAAACAACACACACGCTAGCATTTAAACATCGAACTAGCATGCTCATCAAATGGGTAAACCAAAGGTAGTTCCGAGGAACACGCAAGACTCATCATGGTTCAACGAAACACAATGTTGAACACTTAGCACGATTCAAGACACCAAAACCTACATGGAATCCTACCATATAGTTCTAGACATATGAAACATCAAGAAGACGCTCAAATCGTTCCACAAAAGAACATCGGGAAGTCAAAAGACCAAATACCGAGTCAAAAGAATCACGGGGAACAAATCCCATCACAACACTGAAGTGTTCCCCGCGGGTGGACCCACGGGTAGGCTCCCACCCGTGGTCCCGCCCGCGGGTACACTACCCACCGGCCTACGTTCCCCGCGGGTGGGCGGTGGGTTGGAGCTCTACCCGTCGTTCCGCCCGCGGGTACATATACCTGTACAAAATAATCCCTTCGGGGATTTTCAACTCCAAGCTCAAATTCAAGTCCAAAACATGCCAAATCTCACCAAATACAACAAAATGACTTGAATCAAAGGAAATGCCAAGCAATGGCACAAATGAACCCTAAACACAAGCTCTAGATATGCGTTTTCACAAGACAATGCATAAACACTCACATTTCATAGCAAAACACATGTAGAATCCAAGAAATCACATATAAGTAAGCAAAATAGATTTTTAGAGCATGGGTTACCTCTTGTAGACTAAAGACTTCACTTTACACCTCAACAAGCTCCTCACAAGGCTCACTTTCCAAACCCACTTCAAGAACAAACCAAAAGATTATAAAGATCCTAGCTTTAAGAAAAGACACCTTAGATAGAACCAAAAACACAAGATGAACTTAGATCTTACCCTCCTAGATGCCCAAATATAGGAAAGGTTGAATCTTGGAAGCAACTCTTGAAATCTTGGCAAGGTTCCAACTTGGCTTGGAAGAAAAGTTTCTCACCTTTTAGAGAGAGTGTGGAGCTAGATTTTTAGAAAGTGTAGGGATAGAATGAAGATGGTCTACTAGGTTAGGTTACAATACTAACACCATGTGAAAGGTCAAGAATACCCTTACTAACATTAGGAAATTTAAGGAACAAGGGAACTCCTTACAAAGCTCAAGGTACAACTTTGACTTTGGGGTTGACTAGTCAATTATTAGTCCCCAAGTATTGAATTTTCAGGATTTTAGGAATTAATTCACTGATTGAAATAGGATTAATTACTCAATTAATCCCTTAGTTGAATTTGGATTTCGGGGTGTCACATCCTCTCCCCCTTCAAAGAAGCTTCGTCCCTGAAGCTTGGGTACGATGAATTAAAGGCAAACGGTGAAAAGAAACAACATTGTGACAAGAGGTTCAAGAACAAACTCTTTTGGTCAAGGACTCCAAAAGATTCCACAAAATTTCAAGGCAATGAAGTATTCCAAAGCAAGAAAGAAGGCATTTCAAATTAAGGATTGGCAAGAGTTTAACAAACGGATAAATTGAGCATCAAGAACTCTAGCCCAACACAAACACCAACTTCTAGACAACAACTAAGAACTAAGCAACTAACTCCAAACACCGACTACTAAGCTAACTAAACAACAAGGCAACAAGCTAAGCAAGCAAGCACACAAGGCAAGCAACAAGCTACTACCAAACTAACAACGGCTAAATGGAAACAACAACAAGGAAAAAGGCGGACGGGATTACCATAACACAAGCTAGAACTCCTCACTCTCCGACTCCTCGGCCTCTTCAGACTCCTCTTCGTCTTCATACCTGCGGCTCGAACTGACCTCAATCTGGTCTAGCCTCTGATGCACGGCAACAAACTGCGTCTTCATAAAGGCGAAACCCTCCTCGATCAAACGGTTCTGCTGGCGAAGCAAGGTGACAACATGCTTCTCATGCGTCATGGATTCGTGCTCCCTCTTGGTGCGGCTTCTCTTCTTCGTTGGTTCTCTTCACTTTCCGAGTCACTTTCTTCAGCTTCGGTAGCTTCCGGTGCTCCCACCACATCCTCACGATCGGCTTCATCTTCGGCTTCCTCATCACCTCCCAAACTCTGAACGGCGAGGCTCAACTTCCCGGCATGGATTCCCAGCTCGGTTGCCAACTCTGCTCTTTCCTCAGGTGCTTTCCTTGCCACTTCTTCAAGCGTGATGTACTCGCCATCCTCTAGCTGAAACAGATTACAACTCCGAAGATTGGTGGCATCCAACACCATCTTTCCCACAGCCTTCGGAAGACAACCATCCACACTTACACCCTTTCTAACCAAAATCCAGCTCAACACCATCCCGTACGGTAGGCTTTTCTGATTGTGATCCCGACAGAAAACCATGTGTTGCAACATCAAAGCTGGCAAGTTGAACTTAACCATATTCTTGAGACAAAAGGCAAAGGTGCACTCCAACTTTCCCAACAAACTGCTTTTGTTGTTATTAGGCAACAAACAATCTGATACCAACATAACCAAGATCCTTTGTTCCGCAGACAACCACTTTTTATCCGGCCTTGAAGCTTGAGTGAAACCACTCGTACGGCCCAACAGATAACTTAAGTAGTCCCGGTACCCCATGGTATCCGTACTAATCCAAGAATGACCACTGTACTGAGCAACTCCTGAAGCAGTTAAACTCAAAAGCTGAGCCAGCCTCTTTTCAGATAACACAACCTTCACACCTCCCACTTTAGAAGTGATCTCAAGCTTATCACCTTCCTTTGTCACAACCATGTGACGATAAAATTCCTTAACAAAACCCGGATAAGTCTCGGCCCTTATGGCGAGAAACCCATCCAACAAGCCCTGGAATCTAAGCATATCCAACAAGGAACTAAGAAAAGATTCCAGATCAAAAGCTTTACCTTCAAGAACGAGGTAATGGGCATCCACCCATTCCGCTTTTCTAGCTAAGCTTGACCTTCTAGGCATGATTGATGATGACCCAAAGCTCAATAAAAGGACCCAAAACTTTTTCTCCTCTTTTTCTTCTCTTTCTCGCTGCTCTCTCTCTCGCTCGGCTTCTCTCTCTCTCGGCAACGCAGCTCCGGCGGACGACGACAGCAGCTCGGTTCGGCGGCGGTGGTCCGGTGGCGGGTTGCTAGTGGCGACGGGTTGGGGGATGGGGTAGTCTCGGCTGAACACACGGGTAGAGAGAGGGGAGGGAGAAAGGAAAATAAATTGGGGTTTAGGGATTTGGGGAAAGAATTGGGAAAAATGATTTAATTTGGGGATTTGGGTAAAGATGAGAATTTGTGGTTTAAATGGAATTAAAATTAAGTAAGTTTTAAAGAAGACAATTAGCTCAAGTAGTTTAGAGGTTGGGTTAGCAAAGAATAGGCCTGGGTTCAAAACTCAAGGATTACAATGAAACATTTTGGCTTGGCTTTTAAGCTACACAAGAAAGGATTTTTGGTAGGGATTTACTAATTTCAATTTTCAAAGAATACTTGGGAATATTTTAAAGGATTCTCAAAAGGATAGTCACAAGAATGACCAAATATAAGGATTCTAGAATTATCCCAAGCACAACTCCTTCCAAAGATGGATGGCTAACTTCACAACGAAACTTATTCGCAAGACTAAGGGAGTCACTTAACAAGAAAAACTTACACCTAACACCAAAAGAATCATTACCAAAGAAAAGCATGCCAAGGATTGCCAAGTAACTCAAATAGACAACAACGAAACACAAGCACTCAAGGCAACGAAGAACACGACACTCGCGAAAACAAGGATAGGCTAGGAAAGGATTACCTGCCAGCTCTTCTTCCACTAAACCCTCAGACTCAGCCTGCGATCGCACCATCACGAAGACCCTCCCAGGTAGCCTAGCTCCAACTGCTCCACGACCCGAACTACCTCCCTGGGCTCCTCCGACTCCCGAGGGCGGCGGCAACGCTCTCTGACCAGCTTGCTGGGGACACTCCGCGACCTTGTGACCTCTATCGCCACAACGAAAGCATCGCAACGCGAAGCCGCTGCAGTTCTGACCAGCATGCAACTTCCCACACCTATGACAAGGAGGTGTCTTGACTTGATTCCCTTGCTCCATCCGGTGAGGTCCTTGAGACGAGGATGACACGTTCTTGGCTTGAAAACCCGGTCGTGGCTTCTTGAAGGTGGAAGAACCTCCGCTCTCAACTCTCTTCCTGGCTAGCTCATAAGATCCTTTCTGAAGCTGTTGAACGCGATTCAGATCCGCTGCACTCAGATACGCATCCTTAAGGGAACTTGGCCTACTCACTGTCAACGCTTTCCGTGCCTCATAGTTCAGACCGGCAACGAATCTCTCAACTTTAGCAAGCTCCGTGGGCACAAGCATCCTAGCAAAGCGCGCCAACTCCAAAAACTTCTTGTGGTACTCGACCACAGATAGGGATCCTTGCTGCAGGTGAAGGAACTCATCAAACATGGCGGCTCGCACATGCGCTGGGTAGAACCTCTCGCGCATCATGTCCTTAGCGTGGCCCAACCAAACTCAGGCTCTTCAAGGAGGGTCGGACCTTCATGGACCCACCATAAATCTGCTTCTTGGCAAAAGTAGAACGTAGCCAGTTCTACTCTTCTCTCTTCGGGGTAACCTACAACGGTGAAGATCTTATCCAACACCCTTAACCATTCCTCCAAGACTACCGGGTCTTCCTCACCGGCGAAGGTGGGCGGCCTATGCCCCGATACCAAGCGACCTATATCACGGTGCCCAGCAGGTGGAGGAGGCGGCACAGCGTGATTGTTGTTCAACAAGGCTTCACTGAGCGTTTGCATTGTGTGTGTAAGCTTATGGAGATTCTGAGCGAGCTGCTCGTTTGTCGGGGTCTCCGGGGTGCGAGCTCGGGGACGAGGAGGGATCACAAACTTCTACAACAACAACACGATTACCAAAAGATGGCAAACAAGCAAAGAATAGAAAGCAACACTCAGCTCACCGCGCAACCTAGAGTCCTAAGCCTAACACTTAGATTCTTAAGGTCGCTTAAAGGTCTCAAACCACACTTAGCCACTTAGTAAGTCTAGACTTAACTCCTTCCTAGGCTCAAACCTAGGCTCTGATACCAACTGTAACACCCCCTAAAACAGGCTAATTAAAAACCTTAAAACATGCAGATAACACAACTACACAACGAACACAGCAGAAGACTAAAAGATAACTGGATAATTATAAATCCAAGTCATGGGGTGTTATGCCACGTTCACCAACAAAGATGAACGCTACGGCAAAATCTGCATTGTTTACAACTATCCAAAAGTCACCACAGATCTATAACTAGATAAGCGCACAGGCCATAAACCAACGGGAGAGCTATGCTAACAGGCACTAGATTGCGCACTCGCCTAGACATCACCTGAAAGAACACAATAAAACATGGGACGACGCTCGGTCAGCGAATAATGCTGGTAACCCACCAATACTTGTGAAATATCATACATAGATAAGATATAAGTTGTAAAGTCATTTTCGAAACGGAATACATAAGTATATAAGTACAAAACCAAGAGCAATAGTCAACACAAGACTCAATACTCTCAACAAGGACACGGGAACACATCCCAAACCACAAAGGGTATCACAACACAAGTATAAAGACAAGACTGATGGCAACACATGCCTAGGCAACACATGCCTTTGTGACTACACACGTCACAAGAAGAGAACTCACCACATCGGCTACACAAGCCCTCGTGACATCACTCATCACGAGTTGATATGTCTTCCTTATGCCCGGTTCCAACCTTATGGCTACCCCCAACCTTATGTCTAGTTCCAACCTTTACCTCCAGGACCCCTGTACACCAAGTCCAACCTTTTCCCTCCAAGGACCGTCGTCCCCTCTACAACAGATCTCCAACAGAACCACCGATTTCATAGTACACGAGGGTACCGATCACACACACGGCAACATATGCCACCCAAGAATCACGTGAACCTTACACAAAGGTCACAACTCCATAATCACGTCACGGCCACCACGAGGACCGCTGCAATACCTTGGTGACTAGTGTCCCATTCCACTAATCGTGCAATCCAGGTAAAGCCATGCACACATCACACCTCAACAGGAATCAATCAACGGATCACAACGAAGATATGAAACCATACTCAATCAAGGAATGGATCACAGTCCAACACAACAACGATGAATAACACAAGTTATCATCAACCAATAGGAAGGTACAAATGACACACACGCTAGCATTTAAACACCGAACTAGCATGCTCATCAAACGGGTAAACCAAAGGTAGTTCCGAGGAACACGCAAGACTCATCATGGTTCAACGAAACACAATGTTGAACCCTTAGCATGATTCAAGACACCAAAACCTACATGGAATCCTAACATATAGTTCTAGACATACGAAACATCAAGAACACGCTCAAATCGTTCCACAAAAGAACATCGGGAAGTCAAAAGACCAAATACCGAGTCAAAAGAATCACGGGGAACAAATCCCATCACAACATTGAAGTGTTCCCCGCGGGTGGACCCACGGGTAGGCTCCCACCCGTGGTCCCGCCCGCGGGTACACTACCCACCGGCCTACATTCCCCGCGGGTGGGCGGCGGGTTGGAGCTCTACCCGTCGTTCCGCCCGCGGGTACATATACCTGTACAAAATAATCCCTTCGGGGATTTTCAACTCCAAGCTCAAATTCAAGTCCAAAACATGCCAAATCTCACCAAATACAACAAAATGACTTGAATCAAAGGAAATGCCAAGCAATGGCACAAATGAACCCTAAACACAAGCTCTAGATATGCATTTTCACAAGACAATGCATAAACACTCACATTTCATCGCAAAACACATGTAGAATCCAAGAAATCACATATAGGTAAGCAAAATAGATTTTGTAGAGCATGGGTTACCTCTTGTAGATTAAAGACTTCACTTTACACCTCAACAAGCTCCTCACAAGGCTCACTTTCCAAACCCACTTCAAGAACAAACCAAAAGATCATAAAGATCCTAGCTTTAAGAAAAGACACCTTAGATAGAACCAAAAACACAAGATGAACTTAGATCTTACCCTCCTAGATGCCAAAATATAGGAAAGGTTGAATCTTGGAAGCAACTCTTGAAATCTTGGCAAGGTTCCAACTTGGCTTGGAAGAAAAGCTACTCACCTTTTAGAGAGAGGGTGGAGCTAGATTTTTAGAAAGTGTAGGGATAGAATGAAGATGGTCTACTTGGTTAGGTTACAATACTAACACCATGTGAAAGGTCAAGAATACCCTTACTAAAATTAGGAAATGTAAGGAACAAGGGAACTCCTTACAAAGCTCAAGGTACAACTTTGACTTTGGGGTTGACTAGTCAATTATTAGTCCCCAAGTATTGAATTTTCAGTATTTTAGGAATTAATTCACTAATTGAAATAGGATTAATTACTCAATTAATCCCTTAGTTGAATTTGGATTTCAGGGTGTCACAACACTACTGTTGTCTTCCCTCCAACGCCAGTGACCATATTTTTTGTGACTGTTGTGCTACTGCTAGGTCTCTTGCGTGAAGAAGATGAATGATGAAAACTTAAGATGTTTGGTTGGGTCTGGCCCAATTCGACTAGACCTGAGCTCCTTACAAAAAATAAAATAAAATTCTAGGTCTGTTTTGGTTTTGCGATCCTTCAGTTTAATATCTTCATCATTTTATGGACTTCTTCTAATCAAATTATCCAATTGAATTTTATTAAGCCTATTATTAAATTATTATTCAACTTTG